AGCGTCTCCACCTTGGTGATCACGGGCAGCTCGGGAGACGCCGTCTCGCTCTTGATCACCACCTTCTTCTCGGAGGCCGGCGCCGAGGCGGAGGAAGAGGAAGAGGAGGAGGAGGCTTCCTTGGGGAGGTCGGCGCCGGGCAGCCCGGGGGGCTTGGGCTGCTCCTTCAGCAGCCGCTCCCGGGCCTCCTCCTTCTCCTTGGAGACATCCTTCTTCTTGAAGCGTCTCCGGCGGCGCAGGAAGCTGCCGTTCTCGAACATGTCCCCGCAGCTGGGGTGCAGCGCCCAGAAGCTGCCCTTGCCCGGCTGGTCGGGGCGGCGAGGGATCTTGATGAAGCAGTCGTTGAAGGAGAGGTTGTGGCGGAGGGAGTTCTGCCAGCGCTGTGTGTTCTCCCGATAGTAGGGGAAGCGGTCCATGATGAACTTGTAGATCTCGCTCAGGGGCAGCATCTTCTCCGGGGAGCTCTGGATCGCCATGGCGGTCAGCGAGATGTAGGAGTAGGGAGGCTTCTGATCGCTGTAAGTGTTTCTGCCCGGGCGAGGCATCTTCGCTCGGCGACCCGCGGAGATCTGCAGAAGGGCAGCCACAAGGGGAGGGGGCGGGAGGAGGGGGTAGAGGGGTCAGTCCGGGGGGATTTGCACGGACACCCAGTCGGGTCAGCCGGTGGCTCTGGGGCCGGGCCGGAGAAAGGAAGGGAAGGGACACGGTGGATCTCAGCCCTCGGAAGGGGGGACGGTGAGGTGCAGACGAGGGCAGGAGAAAACAGTCCGGAGCCCTTTGCCGCCGCAGGGGGAAAAGCGATGTGCTTCTCCCAGCTCCGGCCTCCCTCAGCCTGGCCTTCCCGCAGGAGCCCGCGTCCGGAAAGTTACTCTAGAGATAGCTCTGTCTTCTGGTCTCGGCGAGGAGAAGGGGACCCCATCCCCTCCCCTCGACTCCCACCCAACTCCATGCCAGCCCCTGCATATGCCCACCTTAAAGTTGCTGGAAGTTGACAGTCCGCATCCGGGACGCAGCTGAGAGTCCGGACTCTTTCCCAGCCCTCTCCTCCGGAGTGTCTCTCGCCCCTTCCGCGGCCACGCTGCTCCGCTTTAGTCCTGAAGAGGCAGCGAGCTGGCTCGGTTTTGGGAATCCTCTTGTACACCCCCTCCCTTCGCCTCCGCGGGCTGAATCAGCTTCTTTTACACCACCGGCAGCTGCACTGTAGCAGAGGCTTGTTTTCTTCCCTGCAACGGCGATGAGCTAACTAGTTGCCTCCATGTCCTTCCTCTAACCATCTGATAGTTTTATGTGGTGACATGAGCAGAAAAGACCCCTGTAGAGGCGCTTCATTAATGTGCCACTTCTTTGCTATCATATGACAATCGCCTTGGGAGCAGGGGGAGGGGAGCAGGGAGGAGGGGGCTGGAGAGAAAGGCATAATCTGGTTTCATTTACACCTATTTACATGGACACCTTGGGCCAATGGGAATCATTTCCATTTGAAGACAAGGCGAGGGGTGAAAAGGCTCCGCCAGCGGAATTGCAGCGCGATGGTACCCGGTGGCTGGGGGTGGGGGGAAGGTATGCACTAACCTCTCTGTGGACTTTTCAGGAAGCTTAGTCTGCAATTCACACTTACAAATGGAGGTACCGAGCAGTGGGATGTTTGACATGGAAATTGCTTGGCTGTGGTATTCTGTTTGTTCTGCATTGTTATCTGATTTGTATTGTTGGCTAACTTAAGGCGAGCCTTTTCCCCTGTAACGAGGGACTTTCTCTTTGCCAAATCCGCTCTCCCCGAGCGAGGGTTCTTTCGAGGAGCGGTATGATCGGGGCTCCTGGGAAGTCAGTCCCCCCCTCACC